CTGTAATACTGTAATGGTTGTTTTTTTTTTTTATCTCAAAATGACAGCAGAAAAGAATCATTCTGTTGTAAGTTGTTGTCATTGTAATACCACATGCGTTGCTGGAAAATTGTGTATGGAAATTTGTTTAAATGAACTCTTTTTTGACTGCATAGTCGGTGCTTTAAGCCCCTTCTTCTTTTTGGCTCTGCCGTCTGATACTTGCGAGTGCAGTCAGTGGATAAATGCTAGGGCCAAATGTGTGTATGTTTGCTCATAAATCAGCTGCGCCCTGGCATCTATATATCTGTGTACATATGTACATGTGGATGTCAAGCTAGGGCGTACTGATTACAGCCGTGCAACGTGAAACAAGAAATTTTCGTTGGTGGTGGGGTGGCTCCTAAGTCTGACGATGTTGCCGATTTTACGCTACATTTGACGCACGATTGTCATGGCGTTGTTCTTCTTGTTATTGCTGTTGCTGGGGACGGGTACGGCACTGGCACTGGCACGGGAACAACGGGTGCTTCATGGGTCTCCAGCCAGCCAGACATTGTCTGACCAGGCTAACGGAAATGGTTAGTTGGCGATGCGTTGGCCGCTGGCTCCATGCCATGTCGCTGCTTGTTGCCCATATTACATACTTGAGTGCACTTATTTATTTGCTTGTATGTCAAACGGCATGTGCGTGCCTGTATGTGTGTGTGTGTGTATGGTGTGTGCAGCCATTTTTCTATTTTGCGATTTCAATTTGTCTATTGTACAAACGACGAGCCACCAAGTCATTCCTCTTCCAAATGACTACGGCCGAGTCCGACTCTTGACAAAGAACACAACGGCTGCAGACAAGACTTGCGGGTACCCTGCACTCAGCTTGCAGATTGTTTAAATATCTGCAAACTATACTCTCAATTAGATACTTCAAAGATGAGGCCGGTACTGCGTGAGTTTAATAAAGATACCTATTTGGAATAGCTTCGTTTTGGTTAATTCTACAGCTTGAGAACCACGGAGGAGGTCTCCAAAAGTCATATTGCCATTGTCTTAGAATGAGAAGTGCAGAGGATTGATACATACCTTTGGTTAAGTGCTAGATCCTATGATTCTCAATATATCCACCTAGTTGTAGCGGCAGATGAACGGACCATCGGGTTTCTTTGAATACCTGGCGTATGGCCGCCCTCTTTTTGTTGCATTGAATTTAATAATTTTTCATCATTTCATTAAACAAGTTCCACCTTTCCACCACTCGGTGGCTGTAGAGTATAACATTCTTTTATAGTTCTGCCTCAGAACTTTCGAGCTCTGTCCATTTATTCATTGAGTCTGTGTGTGTGGCTGGGGCTGGAGCTGGAGCTGGGAAGGGGCACCTGCTCTGGGTCTGCATGTTCTTGATTAACTTATTATGATCATTTGATTGCTCGATTTAATTTGCCATTTTTCCAAGGCGCGCCAAAGTTTTCATTTCGTTGTGATTTTCATTGACTTTTTCAAATTGAATTTCTTTGATGACTTTTGGCCTGTCCTTGTGCCTTGTGCTCTGCCTTTATCCTGACGTGGCTCTGCAATGCCCTTTATTGTACGGCAGGCCGGCCCGGCTCGCGTTGGGTTAGACACTGAAAAGTTTTCCCTTTGCTGTTGTTGTTGTATTGCACTCAACCATCGATTGACCCGAAATTCATTTCCATTATATGCTTTGGTATTTGCTCCTTTTTTCGGTATTGCTATTTTAATTTTTAAATTAATTTCACTTTATTTTCCCGTTGCTGTTGTTATTGTTGTGTACAACACACACACACACACGCACACACACTCACACTCTCACACATAACGATTGCATTTATGTGATGTGGTTTTAATGTGATTTTATTTCTTTTGTGCAAAACTTTTACCCAATTTTTGCCAATCACCAGCTGTTGTTTGATTTATTTTTTGGTAGCTGGGCGGATGGGAAGGGGATGCGATGCACAAAGGAATCCGGCATAGGCTCCTGTTTTTGGCCACAAAGTACGCCATAGCTGTAAAAATAGTTGAACGAGCAACCTTAAATACAACACCCTCTCAGGGGTCTTTGAGAATAAATACAGAAACCTATTTTCGAAACATATGTATAATATGCCTGTGCTGTGTACTTATTTCCCGAAGCAATTAAGATAAACATTTGTTCGACTGAGAGTCTGTAATTGCATAGATCCTTTAGTTAAATTTTTCATAATGGTAGCTATTTCATCTACATGGGATTGTAAAGATCATGGAATGAGTTGAATGGGTTATCCAGACTATCAAGCTTAACCAAAATCAAATTAGAGAACTCCTTTCCAAGGCTTGCAAAGGCTCTGCTCTCGCTTGTACATTTTTTATTTTTGAGAGTAGAGAAGACCTTGTCGAAATTCGGGTTTATTAAATCGCAAAAGAGTTTGCGCATCACAAGAAAGGATATGGAGTTGATTACATTTTCGAATAAAAGAGCAACTGAGTCTTTTTGGATGTTCGTCCTGTGAGCCCTTTTTGGAGTTGCAATCGATCTGAACATTAAGTTTATCTTTGTTGATGTCAAGAAATTCATTATATTAATTTCACACTCTTTTTAATTTGGATAGATTTGTTTTTTATTAAACCTTTTTCTGCAGCTCCTTTGCTGACGTCTTCGATAGAATCGTTACCTTAACTTTGTTATTTTCTCGAGCATTGTCAATATTGTTCCGCTGACTTCCCGATGTTTTCCTTTTTAATGTAAAGTGTTGCCCGGGAGTTGGGGAACAGCTTTACTTTAAACTTATCAAGTGCACAACATAGTTGAAAAATTGCACTTTTCCTTACCTCGCCGTTCCTCACCTTCCTTTGCGTCTGAAAGGAGCTTAAACAACTTTCGCAGTTTTGTACAATTTTTATCAAGTTTACATTCTTATTATATGTTGAATAAGTCCGACTAACGAAGTCGGTGAAGCGGTGCGTTGATTATTCTATCCTAGATAGAGTTTAGTTAGGTTGGTCACCTTTTTGTCACTTGCCCCCATTGGGAATTGCTGGGATTATTTTATAGGGATTGTATTTATCCTTTTTTCAGAGAACTGTACTCGCCCCGCCTACTCAAAAAAGGTTTGCTGATTTCTTTTACTCTGTTGTTGTTTACATAGACTTTCAATTGGCAGGCCAGTGGTCAGTGGCGTACGCTTATCAAATTGACGAATTACTCGCCTTATGTGGCAGCATTTCCCATATGCGGTTGCAATAAATGATAATCGCGCCAGCCATGAAATGCCACTGCCCTACTCCCTCCATCAGACGGCTGGCCTCCACACGCTCTGCTCGACCCACCAACCACTCACATCTGTGCAAAACGTTGGTTGCGGCTGCAAAACCAAAAGTCGTAAATTCCATTGGTGCCGCAGAAAAACAGGCAGTCAAGCCGCCCTCCACCCTTCCGGCAAACCCATCAGCACCATCTCCACCTCCACCTCCAACACCAGCACCACCACCACCGCCGCCATTGCCGCCGCCATCATCTAGCGTGCTAGGGGAAGCAACAATGCAAACAATGCCACAAATGCACAAAATACGTCGCCGCCAACACACAGACAGACGGAAAAAACGCGACGTGTTTGGATGTGTGTGTGCGTCCCTGTGTGCATCCCTGGCCAAGTGCAGCCGCCTGCGTCGCTCTGACGCGCCGCATTATTCCGTTCGACATAATTAAAAGCGCGCGCCGTTTACGCAATTAATGAACTCTCGCCAAATTAGGCTGCGGCGACGCGTCGGCAACGATAGGCCCAACCAAAGGCCAGGCCAGGCACAGGCCAGGCAGAGGCAGAGGCCAAACCAGGTCCGAGGTCGGTGTGGACGAGCGCCGGACAGGACGACCCGACCGGCAGAGCACAGGAACAGGATACTCAGCGTGCCGGCAGCCATTTGCCCCAATGCGCTTGCTGCGGTTGTGGTTAGGATAGGAGTGGAGTGGGGGCGGTAGGTGGCCGGGAACGGGGTATGGGGTACGGGGAGCGGACAAAACCGCCGCTTTTGCCGCATTGCAGAGCCTTTGTTGCAAAATGGCCCAAACGTTGAGGACGGACATCCATCTGGCTGACTGTTCGCTCGTTCGTCCGTCCGTCCGTCTGTTCGTCCTGTGTGTGCCGCATTAATGGGCATCCGTAAAACAAGGCCAACCACGAGGACGACGGCAATGGCGCCTAAAAACGATTCTAGGTACAGTACGGCCCTGAAAAATGAAGAGCAGCCCAAAAACAAAGCGAGCAAAAGTTATAGAATTATACAAATAAATACAAGTAGGAACAAACCATCGCCGCTGGCTGCTCTTTAAATCCAGCTTTCACTCTTTATGCGATTGATGTTAAAGTCAGTTGATATAGTCGCCCGGTTTCCTTCCAATGCGCAGCAAAAGGATGTATATAGTATATATATATGTATATCAATACTTATTTATGTTGGATTCGAGTATACCAAAGAACTGTTTCTGAAATAAACTCTTTATTGTCAAACTTTAACGAAGAATAATCTCATATTCCAGTCAGTCCTATATACTTGTATATTTTACAAATCGCCAGGTTTGTCTGTACTTTCGATTCTCTTCACATTGCTTTAATAAGCATAACAAGTTGTTTAATTTTCGCGTCGAGCTTTAAGGCCATCTAGATTGTTTCTGTAGAGCATCAATATGTCATGAATCCATTATAGACATTCATACGGGAAATTTCTTCTTCACTCAAAATTGGATAAAAGTAGGCGCACAATTTAATGGCCAGAGAAATATCAGGTTGCTGCAAAAACCACCCTTCCACCTCCACTACTACCACCAACCACCCCCCGATGAATACACACCGTTCAGTTCACTTTCAATTTTCCGTTCTTTATTTCATTTGGTTTTTAGTTTCCATTCCAATATCAATTTGTGTGCTTTTCAGCATTTTTTTTTTTTTTTTTTTTTTTGCATTCTTACAAAACATTTTCAACTCCATTGCAATGTTTCTTGCGTTCCTTATAAACTTATAACAACAATGTGGTGCGAGAAAATAAATTTTCCTTTAGTGATTTTTTACAATTGATAGCACATCTGATCTGACCTTAAAATTTGCTAACGTTTCAATTTTGTTGGCTTTTTGTTCCGATGTTAGGGGAAAGACCGAGACAAAAACAAAAAGGTGCCTAAAAGTATATGAAGTCTTAAACATAGGCAAAAAATAGTTCTATGAAAGAAACTAGTAAGTAAATAAAACAAAAAAAAAAAAAAAAAATAAATAAGAATTAAATGTTCCGGACAGAAGGGCAGGGCCGTGCCGGCGTATAGTCCCATTTATTTAGTTCTCCTTCTTTTCGGGTTCCGGCACCACGTTTGTAGAGGACGATATGTCCAGATCACTGGCGCTGTTCTGTGGTTACAAGCATGGTTAGGAATACAGTGGGAGGCACAAGACACTACTACCCACCTTCATCTCCTTTCGCAGCTTCATGGACTTGCCCATGCTGAGGAGGCGATAGCGCTCCTTGGCGCGTTCACGAATCTTCTCCGGCACCACCAGGAGCGCCGTCGTCATATTGCCCACGAACAGGAGCAGGAATAGGCCACACATGACCGACACGTGCCACGGCGCATCGGGCGGGTTGTAGGCCAGCTTGTACAATGTCCAGGCATTGTAGGCCTGAAATGCATAGCCAATGAAGAGGAAGGGCAATAGAAAGCTGAGGCCGCGCCACATCCACGAGTGAAAGCCCTCGATGGTAATGTCCATGTTGTGGCGCTCACCCAGCGCCTTCAGGCGATAGAGCAGTCCCTTCTGATAGCCAAACTGCAGATACTGCACAATGCCTGCAACGAGTAATGTATGGCGGGGTATGGGTACGAGTGTTTGGGGCACGCTAAATAGCTTCAATAACCCTAGTATGAACTGGTTAGAATTCTAGCTTCAGTGTAGTTTCGAAAGCCGTGGGAAAATAAATATACTACACATATTCAACTATTACTTACTTATGTATACGTTAAAATACATGAACTGCAGGCGGAACAGCTGCCAGTGCTCGCCCTGGGGCCAAACGAGAAGGACGCCAGCTGCCACCGTCGAAATGAAGTGATGGGCGCGCCACCAACCCTTGATGCGCGACCCATTGACCTTCAGTATGGACTCGCGTATGGTCAGCGTGCAGTAATACCAGACCAGCAGAAATATGAACGTCAGCTCCAGGGCTCTGCAAGCAATCAATGTTGTTGTTGTTGTTGTTGGTTTTTGAGAGCCTCAGATGCAGATTCCGACTTACCGATAGTTGAATATCAAATTGAAAAACGCCATTATCAGTCCAATCACGTTGAGTATTAACTTAAACTTCTCATAGTCATCTTTGTAGCGTACTTTGTCATTTCTGTTAAGAATTGAAACGTTCACATCGCCGAGTATTATCTGGTCAAAAACAAATAAAAAAAAAAATTAAATAACAAAACAGTTTGTTGTTGTTGTTTCTTTTTCGAGTTTTGTCAAATATTTGGCCGATTTGAGCTCACCTGCAGATATCGACCCGATTTGGCGGGCAACGACTGTTCGATTTCATGGAGTTGGGCCTTTCGCTTAAGCGTCATGCGTTGCAGATCATCGACTTTCTCCTTCTCTTCGGGGTCGAAGGGTCCTTTGAATCTGTAAAGTGCAAATCAACATTAATAAAGTTATACACCCTTTATTGCTTGCTATAATAAAATATATTGCTCCCATTATTCGGTCTATCTTACCATGAAAGTCGTTTTTTTATATTTGGATTTACACGAGTGTTTATTTCGATTGAATTTCTTTGCACGCAAGAGGTATAAAGCCATAATGAAAAGGAAAAATCGTACACGGCCTACTCTTTAAATACCATGTAATGAGCAGAACGTTAAAGTGGTGCCAACCCGACTCTTCAACACCCTGTGTACCCAGCCTTTCAACTGAAATACACTTCATTGTACTAATCAGTATTATAGCAGCTTTATTAACAGATTTTTATAAATCTTCATTGTACGGAGAGGCTAGAAATAACTCATAACTAAAAACGTTTCTTCTTATCTCTTCACACACTGAAAAGTTAGTAGCTACGCAAAATGATAAAGCTTTATATGGTTTGTAATAAACTTGTAATGTGTATAGATAAATCATTGTCAAGTTTGGTTTCCCTAACTATGATGGTTCAAAAGCTATCGGCGTTCATACGGATGAACATTGGAAAAGAGAAGCGGACTGATCGACGGATATCTGTACATCGATTATACTCGTCATGCTGACCACATACAAATAGTAAGCTCCAATAACATGGGGTCTTTCCAGCTTGTATAATATTGTTCACAAATGATAATATGAAATCGGCGGAACTGAAATAGATAAGTGTACACAAGAACAACCAATTCTTTGGTTGGACTGCATTCCATTTGTCTAACATTTTCATTATAAGTTTAATAAGAAGGGCGACTGGTCAGAGTTTAGTTTCTATACAAGTATACCCATCTGATTGTATATCATGTTGTTAAGCCCGTTTGTAATCCACTTTGCAGCTAAACTGCCTGCATGACATGCACTTATTACTAAGAGTAGACAGACGTTTAATGCGGTTCCCAATGGCCGTCAAAGTTCAATTGGAGATAATTGATAGGTAGAGACAAGCGTAGAGAGCACCGTAGATTGTAGTCTTCCACCTAATGTCGCTATAAAGTTTTATTTCGACAATTATGGCCCTCCTCTGGCTACCACACTCCCTATTAAAATGTGCTTTCATGGCCAACATCGCAATTTAACGCAATCGCTGGCTCGTGGTTGGTATAGTTCATATTTTATTTTTAACACAGCTACAACAACTTAATGCCATAAGTAATGTTCCAATGTATGAGCTGATAAGGGGCGAAAGTTTTGATACGGACGAAAAAAAGCCCCTCAATGGAAGAGCTGGTTAGTGGGCTCGAAAAGTTATGAGCTATTTTATTTCAGCGCAAGTTCTAAAGTCTGTTGCCAGGGGCGAACGCATCGTAAAGTAAGTCTTAGTGTAGGATATACACACCCATTTGTTAGTTTTGCATGCTTCGCCAACCCTGATGATGCCCCGAACGTTGCAGTTTGCGGAACTGCTTAAATGCTTCAAATACATAGTAGTTGATTGAAAGTTAGTTTGTTTTAATTTTTGAATCTTAATCATTTTTAATGGGCATTTTTTTATTTTGTCGAATCTAGCATATAATGTAATAGGCTTGTTCGTTCACTGTTCACACGACTTTAAGCAAAGCAAATAGCCAATTGGTGGGCGTAATCCGCTCTATAGAGTAAGTCGACAATAAAACACCAGTAATTGCCATAGAAACAAAGAGAATTATAACGTTACTTATAGCCTGTTGTATACTCTTCATCCTATTCCATCTAAAGTATGTTTGTTTGCTGATCTACGTTCTTTAACGGTGGTACAAATATTCCCAAGTGGGAGGTTAAACTTTTTATAATCTATTCTGTTTGCCACAAAGGGAAACATCTGTGGCAAGTCGGGAGTTGAGATAAAGTTTCTTCTCTAACATTTAAATCTACAGGAAATTTAAAAATGGTTTTATACTTCTATGTGCTTTTTCTTCTACGCCCGTTTAGTTTAGTTTTGTTTTAAATTTTTATTTTTGTTCTACGGAAACTCTCTTGAACACAATTTTAGGCGTATTTTACTTCCATTTGTGTAAAAAGAAGGATTTTTGAAGATTGCGAAAAAAGAATCAGGAATCAGTGTTAAACATTTTTTCACATCAGCACAAAAAGATTTAAAACTAGTATAGCCTTTCACCTTTTGGGTACAGGCTATAAAAACGAACCAATAAGCTGGTAGGTGCGAGAGGAGAAGAGACCCCACAATAACGAAAATATGTACGCAGTGTATCTCTTCAGGCATGCATCTGTATATGTATCTGTTTCTGTATCTACGAACATACTCGTACTAGTGTGTACATCTCAATTGAAATTCATTGAAAAACATTTCGCAAAAACAATCAAGAGCTCAGTAGTTGGCATTTGCAGCTGCAGTTTAAGGTGCTCAGCTGAGCGACAACAAATAAATATAAAAATAAATAATAAAAATAAAGCACGCCATACGCTGTTTCCATTTCATTTTTACGCTTGCATAATTTATGTGGCACTCGTTGTTGCCTCGGCCAGTGGCACTGCTTTTCAAGAGGTGTCGTAATCTGAGGCTGGACACGCGACTGCAAACATGCCGCGTGGATAAGGGCGACGAGGTGAGGAGGCTTGTCCACTCAAGCGTCCACAAATGCTGAGAAGAATAGAGGGAGCGGGTGGCAAAGAGACCGACCAGAACATGTTAAGTGACCGGCGCAGGCGCCAACATCGCAGTCGTCTTCTTGTCTGCTGACCACGCAAAGCTCTACTTTCCCTTGCCACATCCTACTCATATGTATGTAGGTATAGTGGGTTCAAGTTAATTTGAATCCGAAAGATTTTCCAAGCAAGTAACGCTAGTTGCCCGAGGCTTGCGAATAAAATTCTCCGCTTGAATGATGACAGCGGTATGATAAACGCACAACAAACAAATTTCCCATTATCTAAATTGGTTGCGATCTACCAATTCCAAATATTTGTTTTAGCCTCATCTTTATATAGCGATGAGTGCAGTGCAACTTGACTTTGTTGTAACAAGAGTTTAGCTCATTTGAATGATATAGCTTTAGAAACAAAAACTTATCGAAATGTCAACTTTAGATCAGAATTCGTAGAATTGTTTCTTAATGATAGTTTTTCAGAAAAAGTTTCGAAAACAGCTTTGCCAGTGAATTGTTATATTTGCACACCTGTGCAGTTATATTTCTGAAATTAATAGCATGGTTCGCAAGTGGACTAAATGCTTCGAAAATACTTGTAATAACAAGCAGTTGTGAAAACGAGCGAAGCAATACAAGCAAGTCACATAGTATTTGTGAATTCACATTCATGGGAAGATGTGAAGAAGATAAAGATATACTATATAGGGGAGGGAGTTCCTGCATTATTTGTCTTTTAGGGGAAAGCTAAATATTACAAGCGCATACAAAAAAGCTAGGCATTCACGATCTACATTGCTCCTCCCCTTATCCCGTGACCATACAAAAATGTGCGTGTTCATGGATTAAATTCCACTGTGCAGTGACTGCGGGTTTGTTTATTTTGTTTGCGTGCTGAACACGCGCGCGCGCCCATTGTTTGTTTATACTTCATACGTATACTTTGGCTTTGTAGCGCACAGGGTCAAGGGCGGCTAAGTTGGCCGGCCAGTCAGCTAAGTGGGGGCCAAGTAAACACTCGACAGATTGCAGCAGCTTTTGAAGTTTCTCGCTTGGCGGCATGCCCAAAGGTTTGCCTCAATTGCAACATAAACAATTTATGGCTGTTGTTTGATGGCCGGCCAAGATGTTAGCTAGACGTTAGACCTAGCGCCACGGCAGGCTTCAATAAATGTTGACCATCTTTAATTGAAGGTGTACAAAGTCTACACACACCTGCCACAAAAACTCACTCACACACACACACACGCACACAAACAAACAGCTTGAGGCAGTTTTTATCAGAGAGCGCTACGACGTTTTTATCACAAGAAACAGTTGTAAAAAGTTATTTGTACAACTTTTTTGTTTTTTGCCCGCCTGTTTCTCTTTCCGCTTCTGCCCTCCTCTGTTCGCGGCCCCGCATTTATGAGCAGCTAGTCGGGCAATAGCGATAAGAAGGCATGGTATGGCGTGGTGCGGGTGCGAGGTGCGGGGCTCGGGGTGCGGGGTCGCCCTAACTAATTGCCGTAAGACATGTGCAGTGCGATAAGCGAGCAACAAGTGCGACAATGCGTGTCTTAAATTTCTTTGACATTCTCCTTCTGTTTCTGTTTTGTGTTTTATGTTATTTTTGCTGTTGTATTTCTGTCAGTTTGAATACTTTGGCTGGCTAGCTTCTGGCTGATTACAAAACGCGCCCGTAATTGATTAAAGTCAAATTCCAATTGGAATATTGGAAAAACGCAGCAACACAGATACAGTACTTGTATATAGTATAGCTACATACGTGGAATGCCAGTCAAAGTCTGCCTCCACATACAGACATACATACATATGTACATATGCATAAAGATTTATTTTTCGGTTAGCCAGTCAATTAGTGAGTCGGACAAAGAATAATTACATGCCTGTGTAATTGCAAAAGCTCTCAGAATGACGCCAACTGCCAATGAGCTCGAAAGCGAGAGATCCCTTGAAGCGTGAACAAATAGGAACGATATGGTCGTCTAGTGTAAACTCGTCATCGAGTACCCTGCACCTTGTAGAACATTAAGTTGTACGTTATGGTATACGGCAAGCGTGATTGGTTCTTAGACGAATCACATTAATCCTCATATTATGATAAGTTATACCCAAGCTATTGGCATACCATACAGATCTCGGCTAGCTTGTATTGTCGAATAGCATAAAAGTGACCCCAACTTTTATTTCTACAGAGTGTGCATAGTCGAGTTTATGCGACTGCACTCTCGTGGCATTCTAGATCTTGATATTGATGTTCAGTGAATCATTTCCATGTGGCTGGTTATAGGGTGCGGCTGCCCCATATTCGCAACTGAATGGCAAACACTAGTGTTCTTTGCACTCTTTCCGAGTATGCTTGAATCGGTTTTCAATGCGTAATGCAGTCAGAAGCAAAACTCTAGAAGAAAGAAACATCTGCCTAGCTCGTTGGCAGGGTGGCAACCACCCTGGCAGCTAGCACGGTAGAGAGGAGTGTGGTGGTGGTTGTGGTGGTGCTGATAGGACTAGGGGAATGGTGCGCTTTGAATACTCACTGTCGCAATGAGGCTGTTATTTGATTCATGCGATATCGCTGGTGTTTGATCTCGTTGAAGCATTTCTGCTGATGGCTGTGCAACTGTTCCAAAAGCTCTATATAGCGTCTGTTGCAGGTCTGCAAAATGAATAAATAACAGAGGACAGGGGAAAACATTAATCATTCAATTATATTCGCGATTCATAGTGATAGTGATAGTCATAATATTCACAACAGTCATAGTCATAGCCACAGCAGCTGATCGACTGATCATTATTTTTGTTGCTGCTGTTCAAGGTGAAAGCGTGCTCAACAACAATAACAACGACGACGACGGCGACGGCGACTACTACAACTATAGCCACTGCTAGCAAACAACTAAACATTTGCATGTTATGTGTGTGCGTGTGTGTGTGCTCGTATGTTTGTGTGGAAAATATCAATCTTACCTCCAGCTCCGTGTATTCGCGACTAAGTTCCTCCCATTCATTGCGCAGTGTGTCGATATTCATTTTACTGCGCTTTCTATTTCTACTAACTTGTTGTCAGGCTTAGTATATGGTTTTAGAAGTAGGAAACAAACAAATAGCAAACAGCTTGTACTCGTGTATTGTATCAGCGTTTTTCGGCTTCGTTGTTGTTGTGTGTTGCAGTATGTGCAACAGCTGTGCGTCGGCGGTGTGTTGAGGTTATGTCTGCTTGCCGCTTGCTGCTGCCGGCTACGCGCGCCAATGTGCACTCCTTCCCTTCCCTGGCGATCCACAGCAAAACCAAAGCACGTTGGTTGGTTTGTTGAAAAATCAATTGGTTCGTTGGTCGCAGCCGCTGCACACGCAACAAAAAAAAACTACTCGCAGCGAACGTTGTTTTCGGCCGTCAGTTTCTTGCGACTGCTGACAACAATGATAAACATAAATTGCTCACTTAAAACAACAAGAAATAGCAAAAAAAAAGTTAAGTATAATGAGCTGCTTGCGTATGCAGGTGAGAACGGAACGCACCACCAATAACAACAACAACAACGACAATAACACGCGCAGCTTGTTGAACGCGACACAACGATGTAGCGGTGGCGGTAGCGAGCGATACACTTTTGTTTTACACTTTGCACGTAGTACTTGGAATATGAATATGACAAGTTTATAAAGCAGCGTTGCTGTTTAAAAATAAATTTCAATTTATTTTCAGCAACTACGAACTACGAACAGCGACGACGCTCTGAACAATACGTCCGCGACGTCGCTTGTTGCGTTTACCTGGCCCCTACTGCTAGACTGTGGTCTCGCTCGCACCTTAAGCTATAGCATGTAAGCACTAGCGCGTGCCTCCTCTAACAACCATACAGCTGGGCTTTATACTCACCAGCGCTCTCTGTAATGTGGTGGATTGTATGTGCAATGTTGAATTTTATTTGGCGCGCATTCAAACTCTCGGAATTCAATTGTATTTATTATGACAATGGGATTTTATATGTTATGAATGGAATCAAAGCTATTGCATTAACGAAGTGTTCAATATTTTTCAGTAGTTCGCTAAACAATAAATTCAAATGATTTTGCATATTTTGCCGTCGCCTTCTGTTTTCAAAAAATTCTAATTACACATGTTTTAGTAGGTTTGATATTTTATATTAGAAAAATCGAAGCAGTACATAAATTTAAAGCCGAGTCGATTTAGCCCTGCCTGTCTGTCTCTCCGTGTGTACACACGAACACGTACATAGATCTCAGAGATCTAGATCTGTACACTATAAGAGCTGGAGAAACTAAATTTTTGTGGGTGTAGAGCAATTAAAAAATTAAATTAAAATTTCTTGTTTTTTGATTTATGCTTTAAAATAGTTGCTGCTAACCAGCAGGATTTTAATGTACATATTTAATGAAATATATCGTCAAGTTTTTTGATATTTGGTAAAAAAAAGCGAGATATTTATTAAATATATAGTAAGTAACAATAAATGCAGCTTTTCATAACGTTTTGTGGTCTATGGATAATTTACAAAAAAATTAACTAAGTGTCATCCCAGAAGTGCATGTGTGTATGTGTGTACTTGTATTACTCTTTGCGGCGGGCCCGCAGACGTAACGCCAAATAGGCAAAGCCACGAAAGCCGACAATTAGTAGCGCTAGGCCTATATAGTCCAGCGGCAGGTCGGCGGCTGAGAAGTTCAGTGTCTCCAGTATGACTTTGCCCGAACTGGGACACGTGGTGTTCGAGGACGTGCATGTTATCTCGCCTGCCTCCACGTCAGCCCACTGATTGATGAGCAGACCTTCGTTGGCATATCGAAACCAGGACAAATACGATAGCCACTTCAAGTAGATAGGTACGGATCCGGAGTTTAAAAAGAAACCGCCAAAAAGCAAGAAGGGTATGATGACCGGGGGGCCCACTGACAGCGCCATGGAGGTGGAGGAACTGGCGCAGGAAATCAAATAGCCAAATGAGGTGGATACATTGGCCACCAGTGTGACCAGAGCAAGACAGTTGAAGAAATGCATGACGCCGGCTCGCAGTCCAATCATTGGATAGGCAATGGCAGTAAAGATCAGCGGCACGGTTAAGAAGAGTGGCAGCTCCGCAATGGTCTTACCAAGAAAATAGGTGTCGCAGCGATAGAGACGACTTCGCGCCTCACGCATAAAGACCGGTAGCTCCGAGGTGAAGACCTGTGCAGTTGTGTGAAGAAGCAATGATAGGATTTTCTTATTCTTATTTTGCCTTAGGCACTTCTGATTAGCTTACATTGATGGTCGCGAAAACATTCTGAAAGGTCATGTTAGTGAGAAACAGGAAGATGGCGCCATTGATGTTCATCACGCCCACCTGGGTCAGCTGTTGTCCAAGAAAGATGAGACCAATAAGTATGGCAACCATCTAAGTAGAATTCATAATATTTTTATTGCCCATACAACAAGGTATTTCTCGATCTCCTCTTACCGTCGTTTGTATGAGTCTGACTTTCACAAGCAGCGGCTCCTTGAGAACCGACAGCCAGGAGCGCCAGAGGACGGCACGAAATTGCATAAACCAAGTGGCCTTATATGTATAGCCATTCTCGGGCTGCTCCAGTGGCTGTGTCTGCACCTTGGATGCCAGTAGTTGCTCCATCTCACGAGCAACCTTGCTAACCGCAAAGTTGTCGCAGATTTTGGCGATGCGCTCTCGTGATTCCGTTTCACGTCCCGGGACGACGGCAAGCACCTGGACATAGAAATCCGCTGGATTGTAATTCGTTGGGCACTGAGCACCCACACTGTAAATAAACGAATGTGTCAAGTTCTTCACAATAAAAGGGAAACAGTTACTCACTAGGAGAAGAAGTCCACGGCCTCGTTGGGCGTGCCCAGAAATGAGACGCGACCTTCGGCCATCAGGAGTATCTTGTCGAAGAGCTCGAAGAGCTCCGACGAAGGCTGATGTATTGTCAGGATGACGGTTTTGCCCTTCTGCGAGAGCTTCTTCAGCACCTGCACTACGCTATGTGCCGTAAACGAGTCCAGGCCCGAGGTGGGCTCGTCGCAGATGAGCAGCGGCGGATCGGTTAGCGCCTCTGAGGCGAATGCCAGCCGCTTACGCTCGCCACCTGACAGCCCCTTGACACGGCCAGGCACACCGATAATTGTGTGCTGGCACTTTGTCAGCGATAACTCCTGAATAACTTGGTCGACACGGGCCACGCGCTGCTTGTAGGACATGTGGCGCGGCATGCGCACCATGGCCTGAAAGATTAAATGCTCCCGAGCCGTCAATGAACCAATGAAAAGGTCGTCTTGCTGCACATAGGCGCAGCGTGCCTGCATCTCCTTTGCATCCACCGGTTGGCCATTGAGGAGCCGCATGGTCGAGGGCGAGACCTGCACGCCCTGTGGAGAGCGAAATGCCAGCGCATTAAGCAGCGTCGTCTTGCCAGCACCGGAGCTGCCCATAACGGCGAGCAACTCGCCCGGATAAGCTACGCCACAAACTGTTGCATAACGGAAGAAATGGAGGTTGTAAGCATACATACATTTTTCGAATAATTATGTGACATTAATAAAATAAAATAAAAATCGATACGAATTGTATAATGCAGTGGAAACTGTCTTGGCCAACGTTTGTCCGCTCAAGAGGAGTGTTTGCTTAAGTACTTAGTAGATGGAAGGAATTTTCGCAAAATGTCCGCCTAAGGCGAGGGTCCGGATAAACGAGGTGTCCATTAAGAGGGTTTTCACTGTACATTCATATCAAATTGTTTTGGAATTCACATTTCAACGCCGACTGTCCAAATCATTTGCATGTAATCATTGCTTGACTCCAAAAGGTTGATGTGAAGGAAAATGGAAATGGAACTTACAATTTTATATAGAATAGACCTGTTTGTAATTAATTTAAATTATCTTTCGTACTTCCGTTTTCTTGAATCTGTCAGCTGTGTATATAATACAAGTAGACTATTTAAATGTATGTATACTCGTATGTCTCTTTAAGTGGATGTCTTAACAGCCAATTTTGTTTACTTACCGTTCTTCAAGAGATGTTTTCGGGGCACGGGTATGTGTCGCTCATTGCAAAAGATTCCGCGTACGCGATTCGTTAGCTGTCGCCAAGTGGAGCCCGGCTGGTGCACGGCCCCAAATACGTCCAGATTATACCAAGAGTAGGTGAGATTATCGGCCAGCTGCTGTGCAGAGCCGTGTCCGCCATCGCCATCGCCGCCACCGGGGGTCAGCGTGCCGTAGTTTTTGTTCAGTCCGAAGCCCTGATTGATGCAACTCTGTTCGGCTCCAGTCTCATTCTGTCAATAAGAGAATTCACGATGAAGTGAGTAAGAGTGCTGGGTGAAGGGGGGAGGGAAGAGGGAAACGCTCAGAAAAGGTTCGAAAACTTTTCAATTTAGCCTTCTGCACAGGCTGTGCCATAAATTACTTCTGCCAGCATCCACCCACCCATAAAAAGGAAAACGCGAGTAAATCTTGCGCTCTAATCCGTGCGCCTATTTCGCCGCGTCCTAATCCGTTTTAATAAAAATGCTGGCCCGAGAGCTTGGGCCCGCATGGCGCTCAAGTGGCGCACGCCTATTTAAAATGTGCAAATTAGGGTGGCCATAAGCCGCCTTCGTCTTCGTCATCGCCTTCACCGCCACCATTACCGTCGCAGGAGTTGGGCATTGGCTGTTGGACGCGCCATGCTAAGCAGCCGGTCGTGTTGGCACTTCATAAGACAATTTCAAGTGTAAATCGCCGGGCCGGTCTGTTGGCTGCATGTCGTTAGCGTTAGCTTTGTTTTTATTAAATATAAAACTTTAAGGTGCTAGACAATAACGGCGCTTGCCAAACAGTTTCCAGCACTTTCAAAAGACTTAGGCGCGACTCACAGGATAATAGCATCCTAATGCACCTAGCCCTGCCAGTTGTTTGCGTAACTTGTAAATTGGCTGTAGCCAGTAATACGAGTAGTTAGGAAAAGTAAATGAAAATCGTGCTCAAACGGTTCCTAAATCGGAATCAAAACTCTTTGAAAGAACTAATCGGTTCTTAAGATGCATTTCTCGTACCAATATAGCGGAGAATTGCATTTAAATAGTTCAATAAATTTAAAAGCTGAAGAGCAATAATTTCTAGCACAGACGATAAAATAGTGAGGATTGGATTGGAACCTTGAATGTTTATGGAGAAGACAAGTTGCGTGTCTCCAACTGTCTAGCAAACGGATAACCAAACAAAGTGGGTATCGATCCAGCCTCTATTGATTGTCTTCGCCTTTTGTATAAGTATATGAAGTTCTGTCGTTCTGCGGATACGACTTCATCCTCTCCTTAAGGCTGTCCAGATTCCTTATCCCAAGTCGCAGCCACCTTTGCTGTGGGCTTAATGAGTTCGATTGTCGCTTCTGTCCTTTGGCAAGTTACAGGAGCATATCCCATGACTTCGTTTGCCTGACCGAGCGAATTGTGCTGTCAGCTTTTTCCTGAAGTTTCTGCGTAGCTCTTGCCCTCTTCGGGTTTAACCAAGACAGATCCTGATTATATATGTTTTAAAAAAGTGCGATCTGTCACTACGCTTCGAATGAGAGTTTTTCAGCTAAGAAACAAACAATTCACCCATGAGCCTTAGAATACATACTCGTATACGAGTACTACAACGGAAACGAGGCAGTCACTATAAAGCTCGGCTTCGAAAGAAGTACGCAAGAAATGCTTCTCGTATAATTCGAAAATCGGGAGCAATGCAGAAAGTACGCAAAATTAAATAAATATGAAATACAAAGCACGAGACAGACCAGTCGGCTGAAGGAAGCTCAGACAGATAATGCAGGCATATACTACTATACATATACTCGTATATAGAGTACACCCATAAACATTTGCATTTGAGGGGCGGCGCGCACGCGAAGTGAAAGGAGGAGAAGCAGTATACTTGTAAGATATCAAGAGCAACAACTAAAGAAGCATCGCGCAACATAAGCAAATAAATACAGGAAAAACTTTTTAATAACATTTTTCGGCCTCATTTGTTGTGAAAACAATTTCGTCAGGACTGCGCGGCTCGTCCAGGTCCACTTCACTCCACTCCACTGCACGCCGACCGCGACCACTTCCCACCCACACCCACACCCACACCCAATCCCACTCCCACACAATTCCATCCACCGCCAAACGTCAACGTCCCCTTCAACGCATGTTACGGATATTAAATTTTTCGCGTTTACCTCGTGAAGTTGTCGACAACGCTGCCAATTTTTTTTAGTGATGTACAGGACGAAATTGAAACTGAACAGAGCAGAACAGAACGAAACAAAAATAGGCGCTTCAACATCGGTGGTATCCTCTCAAAAGTCAAGCGAGGAGCTGCCGAGCTGCCGAGCTGGACAGAACCAGAGCCAGAACCAAAAGTAGAAGTCGAAGCGAATGCGGATGCGGGGCAGTTATTAATAACCTGCGCGACATTTTCTGCATTAAATGGCAGCTTTTTACTTTTTAACGTTTTTTCTCATTCTTTCTTTTATCTCTCTTTTGCCTCATGTTTTACTTTTTTGCTGTCCCTCGCATATTTTGCTTAATTTTTATGATTATACAAATTTTTATGGAAAATGTTTGTGGGTCCTCTAAGTCGTTGCTGCCGTGCCGCAGTTTTTGTTGCTGTCCTTGTTGTTTTTGTTGTTGTTATCGTTGTCATCATTTGATGTCAGAGCAAAGCACTCCTCTACCCCCTACCCCCTACCCCCTATACCCTCACCTCAGCTCACCCCACACTCCAAAATCTGTATGTACTTAGCATCTTGGGCCAATTAGCGGCTTATTATTTATGTTTTGCTAAAGGCGGTCAGCCCAAGAGGCCATGTGAAACCTCACAGCAGCAACAACAACAACATCAACAGCAGTAACAACAACAACAACAACAACAACAACAAAGCCGACAACAACTCCCATATACATACGACCGCAGCCCAGCGGGACACAGCTTTAGTTTCAAGCGTGCCGCTCTTGGGAAACCTTAAAACAGCATCCGAAAAATAAAAGTATTTATCTAAAAATATTTGAACATAAAGATCACTTAAGGCTATTAAAACACCACCAACAATTTAATGTAGTAACAGGAAGCCTTTTGCAAATAACCAAAAAATTGTGTTTCATTTCAGGCTCGAATAGTTACTTCCTTACTTCACCAAATGTTTCCAGTACTTTGAAGCACTTGCAACGATCATGAACGCTTGCTCAAATAGTCGCTTATAGGTGGGCTGAGAAGCTATCTATTTAGTCACACCACTAGTACTGATTTAGTAATTCTTTTGTCATCACTATGTGTCAGCGGAGTGCTGTTAAATTCTAAGGATATTGGTGCTCGGGAAATGCAAATAAAAAGTTAAAAATAGTGCTTGTTGAGAAAGAACTAAGGCTATATAAGATCTTTCAAAAAGGGGAAAAATACACGTTGAAGCTTTCAACGCTAATCGTACTTAGTAATCGGTTTAGTCCAGAAAGTACAGTACTTCTTCTGTTAACACTATGCATTAGATGATTGGCGTCAAATATAAAGAGATTGGTGCTCGGGAAATCCTAATAAATATTGTAAATAGTGACCTGTTAAAAAATAATTCAGGCTTATAAGATCTTTCAAAAAGGGGGAAATAGATGTTAAGAGCTTTCAACGCTAGTGCCTAGCAATCGGTTTAGTGACGAAAGTACAGTACTGTTCTGTTAACACTAAAGGAGTTATCAGAGCGATAAGAATTGAATGTCGGTTATTAGATTGGAAAATTCGCACAGTCGATGTCAATCGTAAAGTTTAAAGAGAGAACAGAAGGAGAATGACTTGGTCAACTATTTAAGAGAGTTCTGCACCCCAGAAAGAAACTCTTGCAATTGGTAATGAATGAGCAACGTTTGTTAAATAGTTTCATTTATTTATTTACTTAGTAATCTGGTGTCTTTCCATAGTTTTGCTCTCCTGAACAGCTGCTATTCATAGACAGATCAGTTACTGTACGAGTACATATATGTGAAAATGTTGTCGAATCAAATGATAATGTTTTATCTAGAATCTCTAAAAATTAGACTACTGTAGCCAGTCTGAGGCTGCACTTTAGAAAAGTAACGAAAAAAAAAAAAAAAATTATATGAAATGTTGAATCCAATTGCCTGCGTGGAAAATAGTTTCTAAACTATTTGAAACTACATTGGCCATTGGTCTGATATTTCTTAGAAATGCTTTCGATTGTTCTGAAAGTTCAGTTGAAAACTATTTCAGCCACAAAACCTAATGAAAAATGTGAGTGACGGACATCCTTTGTTGTTTGCATCATTGTTTTGTTGGCAGGACGCAACACCTCTAAGCAAGAGCAGCCAAGTAGGCGAAAGTTGCACTTAATTCAGGTAATTTTTGGACCCCAACAATTCGGACAAGCATGAAATTGTATTTTGGCTCAATTTCTGACCTGCCCCATTTAACCAGATTACTGAGGTCCATCCGCCTTGACAGAAAAAAAGAATAACAGAAAATCAAGCCAAGAAAAAAAAAAAAAACACAAATGTTCCAAGACAGAAAGAAAACTTTTGACAACTACACTTTGTTTGTCTTTTACTTCGTTTTTCCTTTATTTTATTCACTTTGGCAAGTATTATTTTTATTTGCATGCCTAGGCGGTCGTATAAAACTTAGCCAGAACAACAGCATCTAAATATAATGCCGGCCACTTGCCTCCCTCTCCCTCTCCCTCTCCCTATCCCTCTGATTTAAGGTGCAAAGTTTTTGGATGATTGGAGCCAAGAGACACATGAGTACAAATAAACAGACAGACAGACAGACGAACAGACAAACAGACAAGCAGGCAGACAGAGAGACAAACGCATGGCATGCGGCGTCGTAATGACCCAGATAAGAATAGATTATACAATATCAATAAAAACGCCTACAAGCACTAGAATTGTGATTGCACGGACAGGGGGAAGATAAAGACACGGACGACAGCACAGATGAGAGGGAGGGCGGGAAAACAGAAACAACTGCGAGAAGTAAATAAGCATTAAAAGCATGAATTAAGCGATATAAGTACACACATTGTCGGCTTTATTTACATAGATACTCGCGAAGAACGAGTACTCGTACATGGAATACAAGTAGGAACAGGTACGACTTATAGACACGCATCAACTTCTAGATACATTTGACATGAGATACTTTTGTCTGCCGTGACTTGTTGCTGCTGCTGTTTTCGTTCCTAGCTCTGAAGCATGCTTCACTTCACTTCACTTCGTTAGTTGCAACTGTGCCAAGAGTTGTTGTTGCATTCGACTTTGGTGTTGTTGTTGGTGCTGCTGCTGCTGCTTCTGCTTCTGCTTCTGCTACTCCAATTACAGCGCTACTTTTTGCATAGCACGTTGGGGAGCTATGCTCGCGTCTAACCCAATGAACCGGTTCGGCCATTAAACCCTCTGACTGAGAACACGACTAACTATCCCTGACATGTCACAACGCATATCGCGCGAAATGGCGAAGCAGTTGCACCCCGAGGGCAAGGGTCAGTGCTGGCCATCCCCTTCACACACACAATGTGAAGCGGTACACGCAGAAGTGACTAAAATTAGCTCGTTGCAGCCACCGCAACTATCGTTAAGGTACTTCCACTTATAAAAAATGGTTTACTTTACAAAATGAAGTCAAAGTAAAGTTAAAGTAAAGTCTCCATGAAGTCGCACAGCTTAAAAAACTCGTGAAGAGTGACAGTTCTTCGTAGATACTTAGCCTAAAAATATCAATATACAAACTAAATAGGGCTTTGGTTTTTTCGGATTTGCTGGAACGTATTAATACTGGGATACGCATTTTTGAGGTAAATTGTAAATATTTTGTTCAAATATTTAACCGTTTAAAATATTGCATGCGAGCTGTTCTTTTGAAGCTCTTACGAAGCTGCCACAACACCATAGATAGCAGCTCTCTTTGCAGCTCTAATCAGCTCTAATCTACAAATCTAAAGATATTGAAGCATTGCCATTCCTATGTCATCAAAATTTATCTCTCCTAAAAAACAGCCTCCAAAAATTCGCAGTTGGTTTGATTCTAAAAGGACTGGTATTTTTTTTGTTCTTAAATTTTTGTCTATTCGAAAATGCTAAGCTCGTGTCCTTAAAAAAATCTTAAGCACTTAATTAAATTTCTAAAGCTAGCAACCAAATAGTTAAAAAAAAATTAAGGGCTTATGCAATGATTTAAAGTTTGGAAGTCTTTAATTGTTTTAGCAAAGTGCGAAATGTCTACAAGAAATTCAAGATTTCTTAACAATTGCTAGAGAAAATCAAATGAGACTTAAGTTACTCTACGAAAGTGCTGGCTGTTAAGTTTGCAGGAAGGGGAAGAAGGAAAGTATTCACTTCACAAAAGGAGCTCCCCCAATGCTCACAATAGGGACAATACCTAAACGCAAGTATTGTGCAGAGATTTGGATTTTGAACGTTTTGCATTTTGCAATTAAGGGACTATAAACACCATTGAATTTTTAAAGTAACACTATAAAACTGAACTAGTTCAAATGGCTGAGCTGGCGCTGACTGTTTGTTTGTCTGTCTCTTTCTTGTGTTCGCGTTAATGCCATAAATTCTTAACATTTGCCATTGACTTGTTGTAGTTGTAAATAGTATTATATTTTTTATTTTTTTTTTTCACTGGTGAGCGTGATTGTTGTTGCTGCTGTTGTTTAATGTTCTCTTATGGATTTGCTATTTGGCTTTGGCTTTTTGCATTGCGGTTTGCTGGCAACTGCGGACTGCGGTTTCTGGCCATGTAATTTGTTGTTTGAATGCACCCAGAAGCCGAGTCGAGCCAAGCCAAGCCAAGCAGTCAGCCAGACTGACAGCCACACATTCACTTGCACTCAAATGGAATTCAATTTCTCACGCTCCTTTTTTGTTGTTGTTGATTGTTTTGTTTTTGGGAATTGGTGCGATTTTCGAAAGCCGTCGCCTTCAAGTATGCAGCACCTTTTGTTTTCGCACACACACACACACTCTCTTTGCGTCAAAGTGAAGTGAATTTGAATTTGAATTTTCTTACGTTTTGCAAATGCTCCGCCGACGCATGCTTGCTGCCACGTATTAGCACTTCCTGATCCTCTTGGCCCATTTTGACAGGCAGTTAAAAAAATCTGAACAAATTTGCGTCACTCTATAGTTGGATTCCTTTGTTTTTTTTGAAATCGATCACACACTCACATATGTACGAGTATATCAACACAAACACAAGCACATAACAAAAACAGAAACAAAAATGTATTCCTCTTCTTCGGGCGGGTTAACTTGTTGGCTTATTTTGACTTTGCTTTGTGGTGCATTCAAATGCGCAACAACTTCGAGCCGCAGACGAAACGCAACTGACTTAGGCAACTGGCTGGCTCTAGCGGCGGCCATTGGCACGATGACAGCGCCAACCTAACGCTATGCACTGAAACCTATTATGATACAGTAAATAATGGCTAAGACCAACAACTGTAACGCTTTAGCTTTTGCTCTACCATTAATTAATAATTTAATTCGCTATTGTGCTGCTGCCGGACTAAGAGGTAGACGTTAAAGCTAGCTGTTCTTAAATACTACAAGGTTGATGAGAATGGAAAAATCCATCGTCTGAGGGCCCAGGTGATAATTAAATAATATTAAAACTCTATATTATTAACTAATTATAGATACACACCAATTTATGATGCCAATTTTTGTGGATACGTGAAATGAAATGAAAATGAATAATATGAAATCAAAATAATGCAACTTGAGTTTTGTCTTCAGTAAGCCTGAGGGAAAGAAAGGCATTTTAAAATGTTCAATCTTAAATAGAAGAAATAATTTTGTTTTATTGAATTTTTTGAATGTTTCTGAAGATATTTTCTCCATTGAGGAACTCTATGATTTTTGTTTAATTGTCTCTTGTTGGATTGAAAATTGAAACTAATGGCTCGGTGAGTAATTCCTTGTCTATTATGAAGGGTGTGCTCCTCATATCGCAGTATTATAATTTGAAAAGTGGACGAAGGTTCGAGGAGATGTAAAAAGATGAGAGAATCATGGACGATTAAAGCAGAGTAATGTGCAGCCTAACTTTCTTGTTCGTCAAATGTGAAAAGGAGTTTGCTTTCTCAAGATTCTCAAGGCGTTTTAGTGGATTTGGACGGTAGCAGTAAGTCGCTGTTTGTGGTGATGAGTGAAATTTGATGAGTGGGAGAGATAAAAACGCAAAGTTGAGCAACAAAAAGAAGCAGAAGAAACATAAATATATTCGTAGTATAATAGTAACCGGGCACAAAATTGTTAAACTGCTATTTGCATTTTGATAAAAAGCAGACCAGATACAAAGAAGATGAGGTCAGGCTAGCGAAGCTACTGGATGGAATGGGATGGCATGCGAGGCCATGCGGTCTTATCGCTTTTCTGCTTCATTGTCGTTGGTGTTGTTGCTGTGTTTGGTGTGCAGCTCCAGATTTAACTCTACATGCATGATTTATCACCGGCATTTCAGACGCGTCAACATCGTTTACACCTTGGTCGCACACCCATTAACGTTGACTTATCATTAGCCTGCGGCGGCCACAGCCTGTCGTTTTATCAATCAAGCAGCTGCGACAGCATCATCATCCCCATCATCGTCCCCATCTCCATCGTCGTCATCAAACTTGACTCTGCGTTGTGTCAATGCAAGCAACACATATTGGAGACTACGAGTACATTTGCCCAGCACAAGCATTTCAATTGACAAACGTTTAGTATCAACTTTTGATTGGTCCTTGTAGGTGGATTAGTTTCGGTGGTCGAGTTCGAAGTGCTCCGTCCTACACTTGCATTATGTACTTAGTACAGTGCTGGTTGAAGACATAGAATATCCGAGCGAATATATCCACTGTAGTGTTTCGTTTTAGTCCCCAACTGAATAGTAAGAGAAGAAGAACGGCTTGAGAGAAAGGCATTGAAGCTATTGTGGCACAAAATTCAATTGAAGCAACACATCTGTCACGAAACTAGAAACAAGTACATATTGTGCAGCATAAAGGGGATGCTTTCCTAATAGCAGAAAAGATTACACAATCGAAGAATAAATTGAAAGCCATTTGCAATGGTTGGAGCAGAAATGTTATCTGGTCCAGGAGAGTATCAAGTATTTCGCATGTCAGAGAGAGTATTATTCAAACAATTGTCGAAGCAGAAGCAATGTTAAAAAGCAGTTATTAAAGATGGAAACAAATCGTTTGATATTATTTTTATTTTTAAATTTTTTAAGATTTTTTTTTTTTTTTTTTTTTTGGGAAATCTTTAATCTTTATATAAGATCTGTCCTAGATGGGGCAATTATTAAATTTTATGATAACTGCGAAATTTTTTTTTTTAATCATGCTTGTGTCATGATGGTTGCGGTGTGATCCTAAATACCTTAACTTGTTTTGAATACGGAGCTCGGACTGTCGTGGGTCTAAATAAGTATTCAGCAATACTCCTACTCGTACGTTCCATGATCTGACAATCGTTTACTCCTCCAATATGGGTCACTAACACCTTATCTAGCGCAACTAATTTATTGCCACGCCTACGCAAATATTTTGCTTTGTGGCTGTCGGTAGCAACAACAACAACAACAAAAATGTTGAATGAGCTGCCACTTTCTGAGCTGCATTTGTCAGCTATCTGTGTTGTTGTTGTTGCTGTTATTATTGCTGCTGCATTTCTACGGCTTCTGCCTGAGTTTTGAGTTTCGATGGCAACCGCTTCGCTCAAAGCGCTTCTGACATTTTCCAGTATTTGTTGCAAACAAACTCAAACTGCATCAGAGTTATTCTTGCTTCGCTTGGCGTTGCAGTCGAAGCTGTTATTGTCGCTCGGTTCTGGTCGTTTGGTTGTTGCCGTTGCTGTTGTTGTTCTTGCTGTTGCTGATGTTGTTGTTGTTGTGACTGCAAATGGCGCTGCCAAGTGTCACAAATTTGTGCGTGTGCTGGCGTTTTTATAAGCGCTGAGCTAAAACTAAGCACCCTAACACTAAATCCGTCTTGAACTTTTGTTGAGCACACATCCACCAACACAAACACACTCACACACACACACACACACACACACACACACTTACACACACATTCAGAAGAACAGCACCCATACACATGCACACACACACAAAAAAAACCAACGCATGGCCATCATTTACTCACTCAAATGCTATAAACTTTTTACACTTAACAATTTATTGTCACTCTGCTTACGTCGTTGTCGTTGCCGCTGCCGCTGCCTTCGCCGTGGCTGCAACAAAAGTTGCATAAAGGATTTGTTGTTGTTGTTGATGTTGTTTGTGCAGCAAGCGGCAGAGTACGAAAAAAGTGCAAAGAAGTAACTCGAGCAAAAATGTTGAAAGTTTGCTAACACGCTTTTACACTTGCACAGAAACACACACACACACACACACTCGCACTCGCACACACTCACACTCTATTTGCACACATACATACATACGCACACACAGGTACGGCATCAGCCAAACGGCCATTGACACTTGAAATCGAGTTAAGAGTTGGCCGAGTTGTCTTTTGTGGAACTTTCGTGGGTGTGCTGGTGCCCGTGCATGCGTGTGTGTGTGTCTGCTAATGCGTGCAACACACACACAGACACACACACACACACACACACACACACACACACACACACACACGCACGCACACCCCCACCCGTCGTCCTTGTACCCACAATGCAAATTATTGACGTGGACAGCTGCCCAATAAATCTGTGAGTCTGAGTGGAGCAACTTTTGCTGACTTTTTGCTGCACTTCGCTCTCGACGCCTAACTTCATGCCAGAGGCACGCTAATCAGCCAGCTTTCTAGTTCATTGGATAGCGCGTCTGACCGATCTGCTCACTTCTCCTGCGAATCGCCCCATCACAACGCCATTGCCATTGCCGTCGTCGTCGCCGCCGCCCTCGCCCTCATCGTCGCCGTAGCCAGCTGCCAGTAATTGCAAAGTAAATCAGCGCCAAAAAGTATGCTATGAAAAAGGAGCACGAACTGCGCCTTTGCTGCGACAGTAAAGTCATACTCGAAAGCACAACTCTCGATCGGAAAGAATAGCTATTATGGATTATGTGTATAAAAAACTGAATAAAATAGTTTTGTCTGAGGGATGGGTTGAGAGTATTGTCTGGCAAGGGAATTATCTGAAGTATACTTTTTGTGTTACAATTCCCATTCTTCTGTTTAAATGATAAACTATGTATATAAGAGTACTGCTTAAATATATTTGAAAAAAAAAGAGTCAAATTGTTGGTTGGTATGTTCACATTTTTTTCTTGATTTGTTAACAATCAAAAGATGGTGAGTGGTTACATATTTTTATTTACATAGGATGTATTATTAGTTCGGTTATCACAGCTACAGTCGATTGAGTCAGGCTTAGGAAGAGAACGAAAATAAGAGAATTTTTGTCAGCCAAGGACATACTACTATATTCTTATTCAGTATGACAAGACTCTGTATGTATGTATGTATACTTCAGAAAGTATATTTTTTATTTACATATATACAATTTATTAAACTAGTTTTCTACTACCAATATGGCAGCTTAAGCTAGTTGAAAGTTGGGGAATACAAAAGTTGTCTATAGTAAGCATCTATAGGACGAACTTACATCTATGTATATACAATATTTACAATGATTTACATGAAAAATGAAATTATATTTTATGATATATATTATATTTTATACAAGGGATCTTGTGGGGAGATCCTTTGGATGGCACTTCTTCAGTCTTCTCTTCTTAGGTTTGGACAGGAGCCGCCTCGCTAGTGCGTTGGGGCCGAGTCGCTTCTCGTAATTGCTTGCGTGCACTTGAATGACATCGCCAACCTTGGGGAGCGGGAGCGTTGCATATTTTTCTCAGTATTTTAGCTTGCGCAACTCTTATTTTGTTTAGTTTTGATGCAGCGGCAATGCCATAAATTGGTAAGTTCCAAACTTGGCATCCCAATTCTTATAGATTCGAGAAACGAAAAGTTTGGGTTATAAGTGGCTGCATCAGTTTGCTTTATAAGTTGGAAGCCTTACTGTAGACTAAAGTAAGCGTGTGTTTGCTTCAAGTATGCTGTTGAAGTTTCTGTTCATTGCAGATGAGGGGCAATGGGGCACAGGGCAGGGGGCAGGGGAAGTGGTGGCGGTCTGAGATTAGGTAGCAAATTTAGGCTCAAGCTGTTAACTTTAGCTTGGCTCAGTTTAAAACAATTCAACTTCAGACTCATAGGCTGCACAACTTTCATGCGCCATATTGTGGGCGTGGGGGCGTGGCCCAACAATTCAGCTGCACTGACACAGCGAGCTA